TAGCAGCTGTTAGAGTAGGAGTGACATTAACTATTAGAGATGAAGAATGCTTCTCTGACTGGATCTTTGGAGATGAACCTCTAAAATAAAGGAGAAAGAGAGAGAGAAAGGAGAACTGAGGGTAAAGGATAAAGGCAATATGCACTATCACCTACATGTATTCCATCAAATTGCGTCATGTTAAAATCCATTTTAAGGTCACAAGTCTGAGGTAGTACTATTCCATTACTCTGCTCGTCAGGTCTATCAATTTGGACACTTTCCAAGTGACCTTTCGACTCTAAGCATTGCTTCAATGACTCACCACACTTTTCCAACTCAGTATCTAAAGGCTGCTCTTTCCTTCCCTCCTGGTTATCATGTACTTGTGCTCTCTCCCTCTTATCTTACCTTCACTCACATTACTAGAGACTTGTTCCTTCAATGTACCACCCTCTCTCTCAGTCATATCTCCAGTAACATTCATCCCTCCTTTACTTATACTCTCATTAGTCTTTTAACTTTAGTTACCGATTTCCATTGCGGAAGGTGGTGACAAAGAACTTGATAGTGATTGGCTACTCATATGTAGTGATAAATTAGCACTTGTGTTGAAAGATCTTGTGTTCTTGATCAATGTACATGTAACAGGTGGAGAGAATCCTTCAACATTAGTGTGGCCAGGCATCGTAGGAAGCAGTTTATTTTTAGCAACAGAAGAAACAGAGCTTGGAGACAAAGTTATGAGAGGAACTGATAGTTTAGGAATAGGAGAAAAAACAAAAAGAAACTGAGACAATGAGTAGGACTAGAGGAACTAGCAAGTAATGATGGAGATACTGAACATTGCTTCTGAATGGTGTTCATCAGCCAAGGCAATGAAATACTAGTGGAAGTGGTTGTGCTGCTTTTATTTGAAGTTGCTATAGTGATGTAACTAACCAGTGCATGAAGATTCAAGACAGGATAGGAGACGTTTGTTTGGACGACATTACCAGCTGGAGAAGGAGTTTGAGTCTTAGAATTGATGAGATTGGAAATGGGCATGGTCTTTGGCTCAGTTGGCTTTGATATTTTATTAGTAGAATGAGGAGGAGGAGGGAGAGAGTAAGGAGGGGAAATGACAGCTCGTTTTTTATTAATTTACTTGACGATGAGAATTGCTTGGGTTTAGATTGAGTTTTTTTGAGTCTAAGGATGTCTCTTTACTTCATGCAAAGTGAGGTGAGGCTTCACGAAACACAATGAATTAGAAGTGAAACGTATAGTATCACTTGAGAGTCCAATAAGTCTTGCGGGATCAAAATGAAGCATTTTGTCTCACATAAAAGGACATCGAAGGCGACATTTACAGGTACCAGCTAATGTCAAATAATGAAGAACCTCTTCACGAGAGTGGAGAGCTCTATTATCAGGACTACATGTAATAAAAATTAATTATAAATAAAAGATAAAAATAATTTTGCATACCTAATGTAAGTGACACGTCTCTTTTCCACTAGCCTCTGCCAGCCATGAGGTACAACTACTGCTGAGTTTGGTGGAGGTTCCATTTATTTTCTAAAAAGTATATAAAACAAAACAAAAATATAGCAATTTTCATTTACTTTCTGTGCTAAAGAGATCTCATTACAAATCACATGTGAGCACATGGGTGGGCCATAAACCACGCCCTTAAATCAAGATGGCTGACTTGATGAAGGTAAGAATACATGGAATACATGGAATAGATGATTTATTTGTAGTTTTGTTAATTTTACTGTTTTAGCTGATCAAAAAATTTTAATAATTATGTAGGTACTTTATTTTTATGGAATTTTAATAATCATGAAGTCTCTAAACTCCAAAATGGTCTGAAGTAAGTCTCAATGGGTAATGTCCATTGATTTTTATCCTGGGTCAGTCATTTTGAATATCAATTGGTCATTTGATTACATTAAATTTATGCATGTATACACTACTACACTTATGTGTAAGAAGTTATGCCACTTTGATGTAGAAAAAGTAATTTAATTTTTTAATACTCTCAATAGTAACTGAGCTTCACTCAGCAGTGCCTGCAAGCTCCACATTGTAGTAGAAAATTTTTTTTAATGAAAATAAATTTAATACATTAATTGAAGGAATTTAATTTTAGGGAAGGTCTATCTCTGACTCTTTGGGCTAAACACAGCAGCTTACTAGCCATTGGAACTATCA